TTTGAAAGCATGTATGTACTTAACTTCTGGAATTGTAAAGGAGCATATCTTATATATTAAAAAGGGAATTAAACTGAAATAAGCCATCATTGATCAGGGTAAAGAAATAACGCTGGTTTTTAAGATAAATTGAAGCTAGATATAAGGATGGAGCGAAACTAATAGTATATAATGAATATACATTAGATATGATATTGATATAGACATGTTAGAAAATGTGGAGATAGAAATGGCTAAAAAGTTATTTAAAGAAAATTAGTATTAAATGCTTTAGATAACATATATTATGTGATAGGAACCTACTCAGTTATTATTGGTATAAAATAGAAAGTTCGTCAGTTAAATCACCTCGAAATTATATAGATTTGGAACCGGAATTACTTTTATTAGGTATGTCTCTAGTGGATTTTGAGAACATTGTATACTCTTAGAGCAATATTGTATACTAAAATACACACATGAATGGTTTAAATGTTTAAAAAATGTATAGATTTTGAAGAGGTAACTAAGAAGACACCAAGACACAAAAAAGAAATAATTATGAGCAACCCATGTAACACAATGTTTAACAAGCACGCATTGAATGTAGATAGATTGAAGAATAGATAAATTGAAGAATTAATAAAATGGTTTTTTAAAAGGAGTTCTCCAAGGTGCTGAACCTAGACAGAGCTCAGCACCCAGTGTAACTCCTATGATATAATGTGCAGATTAAAACCTGGAGTGGATTCATGGCACCTCCACAGTAGGAGCTTCAAGCTGTCACTGCCTTCATCTCCAGTCTTCCTTTTCCTCTGTGGTAACAGCATAAAATACCTCCTGGTTTTCATAATTGTCATCATCATCATCATCTTAGAACTGCAAAGCTGGAAGGGACCCTGTGGATCAGCCCCTGTCAAGGAGGTACAGTGTGGAATTGACCTCCCAACCTCTGGCTTCATAGCCAGTTATTTAAACTACTGAGCTATCCTACAGTCCACAGTGTGAATTCCCTTCACCTTTCTCACTAGTGATAATATGGCTCAGTTTCATGTTCTTGTGCTTCTTTACTTCAGGCCTGTAGATGTTTGGTAGGAGGAAAGATGGCAGGAAGCATTTTGAGCTCAGTAGAGAAGGAAAGACGCTACTACACACCTTTACACACACTGTATGCTTAATATATGCCCATGTCACAACTCTGCTAGGCAGACTAGCACATCATTGTTTCATGTTACAAATGAGAAACAGATAAAAGAACTCCAGAAAGGGCCAGATATAATTGAGAGTATTAGGCTAGTAAAGATGCTACAGATTATTTGAAATTCAATTTTGGAAGCATGGCCACCCATAATGTGAGAAAAAGGGAAGCAGACCATTACCTCATATGACAGATGCTGGGGGGACAGCTGTAGCAACCCTCCAGCTTTTTGTCCTTGGTCTCCTGCCCATTCCCCTCTCTTGAAAATGAAGTTGTATCCTCCATCTCTTAAACTGACTTGCTACCCTTAAATGTGCTGGTGTGTGTGTGTATCAACTCTGTTCCGTGACATAGATGTAAGGTTCAACAGCCAGTGTATTGAGCCTGGCCTTTCCCTCTGGCAGCAAATCATCTTAGGGGTTTTGGATTCAATGGCCTTATAGAGTCCTTCCAACTTCATGATTATATGATTGAACCAGCCCTGTTTTGATGAGAAAATCAGCAAGAATTAGCTTTTGAGATTGGTAGCTGCCCATAAGATCCAAACTAGTGGAGTCTCCTTCTCAAGAAGTTAGAATGCAATAGCACAAGGTATTTAAAACTTTTAAATCATTGTTATAGCGACTCTTTCTTTAGTGAGATGCAATATTATTCTTTTGTTGTTCATTAATCAGGTTGCTTGGCTAGCAAATATATTTGGCAGGAGGTCTTGTGCATTCTTACCACCTTGTAGGGGTTAATTGTTCCAATGTTAAATAAATCCCAGCAGTTTTGAAAACTGTAGCACATTCGTTTACAGGCACAGTGAGTTGTTCACCAGGAATTCCAGATTCTTACTGTTATGAAAGTAAGACTGATAATCTTAAGATTATTATTTACAAAGCTGTTTGGAAATGACCCCATTTCATCTTTTGTCAGAGTGATTTGTGTCGGGATGTCTTTCATTAAAATAGCACAGTAACCATTGAATGATTACATTTTAATCATGTTCTTTTCGTAGCTGCTGTGTGCAATTAGTTTAGGGAAAAACCAAATGGGCTGTGGAATAAAACATTTACAAAAATGTTCAACCCTTATAGAACGGGTTATTTTGTTTGGAGTTATTTTGTTTTGAGTCATGTTATGGCCCAGAATTCAACATACTAGTGTTATGGAAGAAACCCTGGCTTGGCATGATATGTGAACTATCTCTAAAGAGAAATATTTTGGCTGGAACCCTGAACCAGCCAGAGTACTAATAAGAGCACATCTGCGGGGGTTGAGGATTTCCTAGTGTGCATTGTGTTACCACTTCCATTTAAACAGGAGAAATTAATCATCATCAAGAGTGTTGTAAAATCAAGTTTATTGGCAAGAGTTGTCACTCTGACTTACTTTGTTCAGGGGGTTGGACCTGATGGCCTTGTAGGCCCCTTCCAACTTCACTTTTCTATGATTCTTGTGGATGTCAGGAACTGCATCATGGCAGCCCTTTATCCAAAGGTTAGGGTTGGGGAATGAAGCAGCCGTGTGCAAACAAAGTGGTATAAAATTGAGTCTTCCCAACCATCTCATTGCTGGGAGATTCTCTGAGTACGATGTTGATCTGAATCCTTTGCAGTTTTACTTGCCCTTCCTTGTTTTTGTTCCTTTGCTAGAAATCATACATTTATGAAATTATTCCATTTCACAGCATTCTTGGCTTGTTTTTATTCCTTTGGGGGTAGGATTATGGGTTCCATTAAGAGGTTCCAACTTACAAATGCTTCTTTAATGTATCAGAGAGGCCTTTTCCCCCATTGGATGTTTGTTTTATTTATTTGGTTATTTATTTCAGGTTGAAGCATATTCTTAAATGTGTGGAATATTTTCTTATTTGGTGTCCAAAACAGCTATGATAGTGTTATTTGGCATAGATTCGTTATACTGCCCATGTTTGTTGTTAGAATACCTAAGTGTTGCCTTTCTCGCCTATTAAACGCTATCTTATTTGTTCCTAACTTCCCCTGTTTAACAGCAGACAAACCCAGGGAGCCCTGAATGAGTCGGAGGATCCCGAAACAGGCTGTCTAACTGATAACAAGCCAACTTCTCGTCACTTCTACCCTGTCGCCTTGCTGCTTGTCAGCTCACATTTGCTGGTTGTGTGGCTTATTTTAAGTCTTGCTTTATTATTAGCCAAATATCAGTGAAATTCGCTTCTGTTCCTTTCTTTTCTATGAACAGCAACAGCTTAAGAGTATAGATCTGTTGTATTATTTCTACATTCTTTGAGACCCGGAAATTTTGTCCTTAGAAAGCCAACGTCTTGAACAGTAAACATTTTCCCATCCCAGGAATCAAGAAAACATACTATGCATCAAGTAAATTAACCTGCTTTCTATTTCTAAAAAATCTTTTTTGCACTGTCATTAGCACTGAAGGAAGTCCATTTATATTAGTGTTTCTCAATCTCCCCCGTTATTTGGGGCCAGTTCTTACCCTTAAGAGGGTGATCTTAATCACCTCATTTTTGTTGGGTGGGGGGGACATCTTTGTCAAAATCATAACTCACACATTTCCTACAAACTTGCACTCACATGGGAAAAACAGCCAGGCGTGGTTCTCTCTGACTGTGATATCTCTGTGATGTTCCCACGGGGAGACCACATAAGACTGATGGTTCCTGATAGTAAATTTGGTGGCAAAATGCATGGTACAAAGAGATTCATATGTTTGTGGTGATAATAAGCCCTTAGTCAACAAGTGTGAGAAGATGAAAAGTGTATCCACATGCATTTAACAGAAACCCAATTTCATAATTCTAGACAGATCCGTTTGTAAAACTAACTCTCCATGTGTTGCTTTCATTGTTACTTGCCAGTAAGACCCTTCTGTTTTGACAAATAGTTCATTCTTTTATTTGTGCAACTAACCCTTTTCTGTCAAGCCATTCTATTGGCATCCAATAAGTTCTATTCTGTAACAAAATTAACCTGTTTGTAATTGTTGCCTTGGTTGCTTTTGCTTTACAAAACATGTTTCTATTCTTTTAAACACAGTTTTCTTTGTGTCTTGATGCACTGTGTTGGCTCGTGTGACTTCTGTACTGTGTATGAACCAAACTTCTTTTCTTTGTAAAGCAGAGAGTTGGACTGGGCTATCAGAAAACCATTTTCTCATTGTTACATTGGAAAGGATAAATATACTGCAAAATAGGGGGGGATTGGAAGTTCCCCTTACCAATCTGTAGGGCCAGACTTAATAAAATGCCTTATTCTTAGAACTGCACACTTTAAGGCTACATGTGAACTATAGCATGTAAAACAGAAGCTATATGAAACCAATCTGGAAAAAGAAAAAGAAATATTGAAGATTTTTTTAAAAAGCAAATATATTTCTAAAAGTAGAGTAAAATATGTCATAAAGTATTTAATCTTTAATCAAACCACAGTGAGAGATAAATATAAATATAAAGAAACTCCCATTATTTACTTCTAAGGGCAATAATTGTATTGGGCCTGGCCTTGGATCTAATTTTGTAAGATGTATCATCACTTGTGGACAATATATTGTAGAATTGAATCTTTGTTATTTTTACTTCAATTGTTGCTGAAACTCTGCAATGTACAAATAAAACATATTTCTTTATCTCTGTTTCATGAAGTTGTCTTTTCCCCCCTTTTCACCAGAGAAGGATGCCGCATAGAGAATGTACTGAAGAATGTCAAATGCAGAAAATATGCTTTCAACATGATACAGCTGATGGCTTTCCCAAAGTACTACCGACCACCAGAGGGGACATATGGAAAAGCTGACACCTAAGCTTTAGACCAGAAATATTTTTAAGTGTGCAGGATTATGCAGTTGTGTTAATTAGTTAACACGAGTTGCTTTGTGTGTCTCACAGTTTGGAAATATGTGAGAAGGAAAAAAATACGTAGGACTTGTTGTTACATAACTGTGTACTGTCTGTCATTCAAAAGGAAACAGCAATAAAGGAAAGCTGTATATTCTGGCAAAGGTTTTTTAAAAAACTTTAAAAAGTGGGCTGCATCTCATAAGCTAACCAGAATCAAAGGTTTGATCATTGATCAAATAGATGACTCAAGGCTGAGTTGGCAGGGGTCACCGTGAGCTTGAATTTCTACATGAAGCCCTCTTGGATTTTTAGCTTAATTGTGGAGATACCTATTGGAAAATGGGCCAAGCTAAGGTGCTACTTGGCTGTGGTGCATGACATAGATGAAACATTTTGGAAAGAATTCTGATCTTGATGATTTTAAATTATTTAATATTAGATTATATATTTGGGTTTTTAAAAATGGTCTTTGCCATTTCCACCACATTTATGTTCTTAACTTTTATTAAAGGCACCCCCAAATCTACCCCCTAAGTTTTCCTGAAACATGGGCTCTCATCAGCCTCAATAATCTCTTGAAATGTCCAGGGTCCAGTGTGTTATCAGCTATCCTTTGTGGTATTAAGTGACAATCAGTGTTTGCAATATGCTTCAAGGACTACCATCACATTCTGTTCTCTGTGCAGTCTGAAAGCCCAGAGGAGACAGGGAGATTTTTCTGCTGGTGCTCAGAATAATCATGTGTTTTATTGTAATGTATTGTATTTGAATGGAAATACAGGATTTATTGCAATGTACAGTGTTGGATACAGAACCTATAATAGTTACCATAATCATGTCCTGTTGGCATGACTAACTGCTGCCATGGAATTACGTGTTTCAAGGCTAAGGATATTTTTAAAGGTTTAAAGAACAATTTTTAACTTGAAATCTAATCTCTTACAAATACCAGAAAGGCAGCCATTTTCCAGTCAAATGTAAATGCTACCTAATATGTGCTTTTCACACAGATCACAAATGCTTAGGAATAAAAATATATAAAAACCCAGCACCGTTAGTAAAAGTGAATGAAATTTGTACAATGACTGAAATCCTGTTGTGTAACATAGTAGCCTGTTGAATGAGTGGAGATTTGGGTGAATCAACTCCTCTGTAAGTTCAATTGATTCAATGGGCCTACTCTAGTTGCACCTTACTATACTAAGCATTTCAACCACTGATGTGTACTGTGTTTCTGAAAAGTTATACAAATGCACTTTTATCTCTTTTGTTGACCCAGTGACTTCTGGCAAAGAAACCCCAAGCAAAATCCAGATGAAACCTTTACATATTTTTTTAAAATATAACTTGCATAGCCAAAATTACCAAAAGAAGCAAATATTAAACCACTCTTGTCAGGTGTCAAAGTTGTGGAATCACACGAGCTGATGTTCTCCCTCCCAGATGTGGTATAAAATCTATACTCACATATGGAATGTATATTTTAATTAGAATTCCCTATTTAAAGGTGCTTTATTAGTAAAAGAATCATTATTATTGTTAGTAACTTAGATAATACTTTCAAAATAAAAAAAATTGCCTTCTGAAAACTTCTTTGAGTACATGGGAAGCTGATTTCTCAGAGTAAAACATTATTTCTAGTATTGCTGTATTAAAATGCCATCTGGCATCCCATTTGTGTTAATACTTGTGTGATTACTCCTGTTGAATTCAGTATGTTTCATACCATTTGCTTGGTTAAGATGAAAATGAGCTAATTAAAATAGGAGCCAATTATTTGTCATTACACTGCAGTATCCCATTCTGCATTTTAGGACAAAAGTCCCTGTATCAAAATAACAAACGAAAATGTTAAGAATAGCTACCCTTGAACCCTTTTAATATGAGATGTCTCAAAGCATCTGAAAATGTATTAGCTGCTCACTACATGTAATTTAGTTATTTCAAAATGATCTACACATTATTGCTGCTTTATGTATCTGTGTAATATAATAGATAATGCCATAATCAGAATATACATTTCAGACTGAAGTCAATAAATAACCAAATCAGGGAAACATTTTTCTTTTTCACTAGAGGTATAAATGGGCAGCAGCATAGTTTTTTGAGCAGTTCTTTTGCCCAAGCCTTATTGAAGAAACTGAGAACTAGCCATAACCTGTATTGCTCACACATTTTTGGGGGGGTGTAACTTAGAGAAGTTGCTGTTGGAATGTCCTCTAGTACTTACAGTAGATGGAGACATATTAGCATCTTCAGTATAGATCATTCTGGAGTACAACTCCTGCTAATGATTAATTAAAATCTGGACTGACATTTCTAGTATCTTTTCCGAAGAAAGATAACAGGGGTCATCAGCTTATCCCACAATCATGTATTATGTAATACAAAGTTTTGTACGAGAATAAGACAAATCAGCTTCAAAAGTTAGGAATGGAGGGAAATGGGCAAGTGTATTAATTGTAGAGTATTTTGAATTATATTCCAGAATGTTACTGAGGCAGCGTATACAGCTGACTGACCTTTTTAACTTATTCAATACTACTTATTGCAAAATTAAGACCACTGGTTTCTGGAGTGCTTTGTAATCCTAGTTATTGTGATTTTACATACAGCACTTCCAGTGATGTAAGTCACTGTTTGCTTCATATGTTTGCTTTCTAAAAATCTGTCTGTGGTTCCAGCTGGCTGGACAATACTTTAAATATTGTAGCACATTGTAAAGGAAAAGAAGGGCAGCTGTAGGTCAGCAGTTATAGAAAAATATTGCACAAGCTTTAGAGGTTTTCAGAGGCCTTTCTGTCCTTCCTTTTTCTGGGTTGGTAAGATTTTGTGAGTCAAACAGAATTTTATGCTATCAGACACTCAATAGAGTCACGGTGTTCTCTTCTTTGTATACCATTGCAAACTTGCAAGGACCTGTAGCGTCCAGCCAGATGTCTCAAGGAAAGGTTTGTGCATGCAAAGGCCTCTGGAACCAGTGTCCAACCTTCAGAGAACTGAACTGTACATTCAAGGCTGCCAGCAAGACTAGGGATTGTGTTTCTTGAATTATATCCCATATAATACATAAGTTAAAAAACTAACTTAAAAACTTAAAAACTTAAAAACTTAGTTAAAAAACTAAGGGGACAGACAAAGGGAGAGACAATATGATCTGAAAGGAAAGCTCTTCAAAACTTGAAAGGCTGATTAGGTGCTTTAGGAAGCCTTCATACATGTTCAAAAGAATGTTTGATCATGACTTAGTATATAGTCCAGTATATAGTCAAGTAGATATTTGTCACCCTCCCGCTCTTCATGAATTGCAGCTTGCATCACACCTTACCACGGGCTATGCTGTGTAGGGGTGATGGGTAGTGTAATCCAGAAGCACCTGGATTACACTACCCAGGTGCTGCTACTTCAAAGCATTCAGCCAATAATCGCTGCTGTGAAACGTTATTGAGAAAGTCTGGAAAAGATGTGCTTTAAACAGATTGTAGACACAGCTAGCATATATTGGATAATTTGTCTCTTTAACAGAATTAGACAGCAGATTCTAAATATCCTATTATGCATGTATCTTTTGTTTTCTTTTTCTCATTTTGTCTATTTTTTTAGCAGCTACAAGTATTGCTGTGCATAAGCCATATCCATTGTACATCCTGTGTGTGTGCATGTATTTTTATTTAAATAAATGTGTTTTATTTTTCATATTTCTGCCATTCTGTGTATGAATTGTTTCCATCACCATAAAACGAACAGCATGGAAAGGTTAGATCCTGTGAGGAACTATCCCATGTCACTTGAAGTGGCATATTCAAAGCTTTAGAAAATTGTTGCCCAATGTTCTTGGAGTACTTTAGAATCGAAATAGGTCAGAGAGTTCTGAAACAAAGGGTTACCAGCTAGTTCTCTTTGGCCTGGGTCCTAATCAGGCGGTGTGGATGGGATGGACAATAATGTAAACATTCTGCCCACCCCACCAGGCCTTCTCTTGTGCAGTGTGAGAACAGGCACACACTGGGGAGCCTGCCAAGAGGTGGGGGTATTGACATGACTGCCCTTCTACTTCATGTTCCCTAAATAGAGTACTGCCCTTTTTGTTGTTAAGTACCATTTATTTTGCTGGAAGCAATATGAAATATATAGCTTATTCTCCTATGTAAATCATTAAAGCTTGGTGGCAGAAGCCATATATCAGAGGAGACATGTAGCACTTATGCTGTGAAGGCAAAACCTTGTTTACTCCGAGGGTTCAGAAGTTCTTTAATCTGAAGGGTCAAATTCAGTTTTAAAGAGGGGGAACACATTCCAGTGGTGGGGTGGACTAAACATTTTAAATCTCTTACAGCCATTAACTAAGGGGAGTTATGGTGGCTTCTTTGAATGGAACAACACCCTTTCAAAAGCTGAGAAATCACCAAACAATGATGAAGCACAAGAGCCAGATTGGGACCTGAGGAGAAGTGGATTTGTTTTCAAAGCCTGAGGTTTTCCATTCTGTCTCTGAGTCCCCCTCCTCCTCTGCAATTTCCTAAACTGATGAGTAGCTGAAATCAGCTTCTTGTTTGTCTGTCTAGTTCAATGTTTGCCTACATTGATTGACAACAGCTCCTGGGGTTTCAAACAGAAATTCAGTGGGTGCATGCAAAGCACATGCTTAGCTTTGAGCAGCAACCTTTCCCAAGGATCCTCCCTTGCCTGGTACACATCACGTGTGTGGCCTCTAGCCTTGTTCAGCATCATGTTTTTGGATTGCAGTGCCCAGAATTCCCCAGGCAACATGGCCAGCATGCTTCTCAAAATATTCCAGACATTGTATGCAAAAAACAAAAATCTGTGCAAGTCTAGAGGCATTATTATATAATTCACCAGCGGTTCCAAGTTGGGCAGGGTACCAGGAGACTTGTGTTCTCTCCCCGAGCCTCTCTCACAACCTCCTATGAATGCCTTTACACTTAATGGTGAGGTTAAACATACTGTTTAATGCCACTCTATTACTCTCCAGTTGTATTAAACTGTGATTCTCATGAACCCCAATCAGTAGAGTCATTGGTTGAAGATGATAGTTGCTGGAAGGCAGCAGTTCAGAGGGCAACAGACGTGGAAGGGTTGGCTTACCATCTAGCATATCTTTTCATAATTGATCCCTGCACATTTATATCCAGTGGCAGATCTGGA